TTGACAAAAGATCGAAACTGTTTTTATGATTTTCATAAAAAATAATAAATATTAAACTCTTAAATCTGCCTTTTATTTTTATACTTACATTTGGCAATGTTGTAAAAAGGCATCACTGCCAAAACTACATAATTTCCCCAGTATTTGGCAATGTTGTAAAAAAGACTCACATTTTTTTTGTGTAATTACCAATAAAATATTTTTTTTTAAATTTTTTTCTCTTTTCTAGACTCATAAACTAAGATCTAAATAGAAATATTTAATAAATCACGCTAAGAATTTTTTGCCAAATTAAGGGTTAAAAGAGGTGTTGTTAAGTGTAGTAGAAATAGGTTGAGAAAATATATAAAACTAAATAGGTATCTTAATAAAACAAAAAAAAAACTATTAAATAAAAATCAATTAAAAAAAAAATCTCCAAGGAATGCATACAATTGATAGAAAAATTAGATACTTGCCGGTCTATAATCGATGAAAATAGGAAAACCTACGAAGAGTATATTGACATGTTAATTAGTAAAAAAAAAAACCTCATAAATTCATTAGTAAAAATAGTCCACAAATTAGATAGGGGAGTACATATTGGCCTTGAAATTCTTATCAAATACCTTTGTATCAGAGAGTACACAAATAGATTTTTTCTCCTTGGCAGCACGCCTGGATTCCAGGGAGAAGCAACATAAACAATCAGTATGTGAGCCTTTAAACTCTAATTCTGTAAATTCTATACATTAAAAATTACATGTTATTGATATAAACAAATTAATTATTAATTTATATTTGAAAAGAGATAAATATTATCTTTCTTTCTATTTTAAGAGACAAATAGCATCCTCGCCAGTATTTTATTTTACAAATTTATTGAACAGAATAAATTTCCCACAAATAAACAGACTTTGGAATATGTTCCAAAACTTAATTTTGGGGATAAAATAATTTCTAGCAATGAGACTGAAAATAATTAACTTTACTGACCAAAAGTAAAAATTTAGTGATTGGGCTACACCTGGCATCTACAAAAGTCGTAATAGGCTGTATAATTTGTATGAGCTAAAGTGTACTTCCACTGATCCAAAGCTTATCGAATATGTCAGAAATGATTCAAATTTTTTTACGAAAGTATGAGTTGCAGCAAAAGCAAAATATATATCTGAAAAATTTTACAATTCGGAAAATAACATAAAATCAACCTGGATTGTCAAACAGGTTGGTTGGTTGATTGATGGAGAGTCGCTCACACTCATTAGAGGTTGTAAAAAAAGTTATTAAAACAGATGAAGCGGTTGCCGATACATTTGAGAAATTCTTTTCTAAGACACCAATAGAAAGCATTAGAAATCTTAGTTCATGTTCTAGACTCGCGGTCACTCATCTAGAGTCATTTTTAATGGATTCTGAATTTTATTTTAGACATATTAACGACAAATCAATTACTAAGACATTTAATTCCATTAACATCAAGAAAACCGAAGATCCCTGGGGCGTTTAACTTATGTTATCGAATCTATAATACCATCTATTGCGCCCCAATTAATTTTTATGATTAATAAGTACATTGATGAAGGAACTTTTCCTGATATAATGAAATATGGTAAAATAATCTCACTTTTCAAGTAAGGCGACAAATATGATCCTAGTAATTCCAGACCAATATCTATACTACCAGCGCTAAGTATTTGAGAAAATTATTTGTGAAATTAATATGTGCTTTTGATAAATAAATTACTTCACAAAAATCAGTTTGGTTTTAGCAGAGGTAAATGTACCACAGACGCTGGAATAACACTTCTAAGACATATCTATGATGCTTGGGATAGTAAACAAGATGCTATCGGCATTTTTTCCGACCTATCAAAGCATTCGACTGCATCATGCTGTGGCAAGAAAATCACTTAATCTAATAAAATCATATCTTTCTGCAAGAATTCAAAAAGTAGTAATTAATGAAGCGAAATTTTCAAATTTTCATTACTATGGGCGTATCTCGGGGATCGATATTAGGACCATTGCTTTTTCTTATTTACATTAATGCTCATCCTCATTTTACGAAAAATATGTGTGAGACGGCTAGATATCTTATTTATTTTCATAGTGTAACGACGTATAATATAATTTTATTGCACAAAAGAGAGCCATCCTTGCTGTATATAATTAACGGTCTACCTAGGGAATCTCTCTGATAAATATTTAAAGAAATAAATATTTTGACTGTTGCCTCTCAATACATCTATGAAAATATTATGTACGCAAGAAAACATTTCAATTCCTTCACAAGAAAAGTAGTGTCCATAATCTTAACACAAGAAATAAAAAATAAACGTACCGTTCCAAGCTTCAGATTTCAAAAAACCAGAGGATCTTTTCTGGGTAACCGCATTGTTATATTCAATAAAGTTCCACAAAATATAATTGACCACCCGTAAATATACTTAAAATTCATGTTAAGAACATACTACTAATTAAAGGCTATTATAAAGTTGATGATTATTTTAAGGACCACAATGCATTTAATAAATATCTATAATGACTAATAATATGTTCCAACCTATGTCCTACAGACTTTTAAAATTGTTTTTATTATTAACATGATTAATGAAAAACTTATCATAAAGAGCTGGTAAGTTTCTTTCACTTATTCTTCTTGTCAGCTAAAAGACGTCCAGTGCGAGTGGTAAAACAAAAAATTATTTTTTGTACCATTCATAAGTGCTTGAAACAAGCTTACTTGAATAAAGTCATTTTCGTTTTATTTCATACCTTATTATGATTTTGATTTAGCTATAGTCGAGTTTTAGTTTTTTGAACTTATTATTTTTTTATTTAATTAATTTTTGAGTGTATTTAAGCAAAATTGCAGGCAAAAGCAATCAATGTAATGTGCTAATGAAGCCCTTTCACTTGATACCCTACACGGAATTATTACAGTTACGATGAGTAGTTTCAAAGATATACGGGAACAGATGAACATTCTTACATACATACCGATAAAAATCATAACCCTCATTTTCGCTTCACCGTAGTCGGGTAAAAAAATAATCTGCAACAAATCTTCACGTTCTCGTTGTAAATATTATCTTATCACTTTCAGTCATATCATTAATAATTGAATACAGTCAGACAAATACGAAATATATTTTTTAGCTATTATTTGTCTGTGTTAAATTTGTTTATAATAAATCATAAAGTTTTTCATATCATACCTTAGGACAAACAAAAATAATAAAAATAACTTCTATCGAGCTAGCTAGTATCATTAATCTCATGAGAGTTCAGTAAAGACGTTACCTATAATGAATAGTCTAGTCTTTCCAGTAAATGAATGAGGTCTAATAATCTAAACTTTATAGGTTTTGTTAAAACTGGCAAATGGTATCTACTTTTATTAAAATTCTGGATGCTGTAGACGTAAGACATCGATAAATCTGTACGATCTTTTTCTTACTGTGCGTCCGTTACATGCGTGCAGACACATTAGATGTTCTAGCTAGCTTTCGCGTGGAATTCAGTTATTGTCATCCTAAAAATTATTCTATGCCCTTTCCTAAAATTCACTTTATCTCTATATCAAAAATTATTGAAACTGGCTCAGTAGTTAAGGCGTGACAACGTTACAGAACACACACAAACAAGACAGTTACTTTCGCATTTATTATAATCGATGTTATGTAGATACAGCTTGAAATAGGTCTTAATGAAAAGAAAAACAAAAGCCCTTAATATTAATTTTAATCTTAAACTCAAGTCTACGCTAATTCTTTGTATCAAATCGAGCGATATAGATTAAACTAACGCCATCCAGTATAGCAAAGCTAACATTTAATAAACAAAAGATGGTGGAGGAGAGGAGGTCATTCCTGTTCATTTTATATATATATTGTTGTTCTCTTAAAGACGGATCTAAAAAGTCCAAACACGAGGCAGTTGCGTTATATAGTTGCTGAGTTCCTATAACCACCTGCCAGCTCCATATTCAACCGACCTTAGTCTGGAAAGCCTTCAGTACCAATGTGCTCATAAAGACTGATCTAACGAGCCCAAACACGATGCAGTTTCGTTATTTCATCATTAAGTTCCTAGAATCACCTTCCAATTTCATCAATATATCAGCTTACTGACACCATAATGTTTCCTTGACATCTGACTTATATGTCTATGCAAAAAATCAAATCTATCGGACATTGGGGATTGGTTCAAATTCGGGTTCCAAGATTTGCGCACTAAGTTCTTTTGAATCGTCAAAAAAATGGTTGCTATGATAATGCTTTGATTCTCCATGAAAGCATTTATCCCTTTAAATGATGGTTTCGTGATAAAATATAATCTATTACGTTCCCAGGGTCTTCAACTACTCATAAAGCAATTTTTATCGATATAGATCCAAACAAAGAAGTTTCATATAAACGTTTTCACGCTTTTAAATTGAAATTTTTAAAATCCGTTTTAAGTACACCTTTACGTAATAAGATAATTGTACCCTCCAAATTTAAAGTTTTCCGACGTCAGTCAGGACATCTCCTTATGTACCTTTATAGATAAATTTTACTAATTTCATAATTGCGGGCTAAAACTAGTTCTTCATTACCATTTTTTTTTGAGATATTGCTTCACATTTACTTACGTTTTGCATTTATGAAAATTGATAATTTTAAACATGAGTATTTATTTATATTGTGTGTATGGCACATGTATGTGAGAGTTGTTGTTGTTTTGGAACTTTTAATTTCCACAGCAAAAATGTTTTTTTTTATAATTCTCAAACATATGATAAAAAAATAAAAAATAATGACATTGTTTTTCATTCTGTACTTCAGAAATATGGAGATAAAATCTTCAATTTCCTAGATACGTCTTGTAAGAGTCAACGACTTACTTTATCAAAATTCACATTTTCTTTAGTATTTTCTTCCTATTGCATTTTTTAATCAATAGTTTAGATGTGAGCTTCATGGGTAACGAACCCAATACTTAAACCTGCCGGTCATTAATTTACTTTTACCATAATGGTCCGGAAGTTGGGGATCGGATTTTATTATTTTGTCACTTTTCTTAGTTTTGTAAATACATTACCATTAACAGTTCATACATTAACAAAACCCAATAATGATTTAGAAAGTGTTTTAGTAAGTGAAAAGAATAAGGTCAATATCACCAGAATAAATAATCAAATGGATAATGTTTCAGTTAATGAAAAAAAATTGGGAAATATCAATGACGGTTTGAGAAATGTTAGACAAAATACACTGAGACCGGGTATGACAATACGGGAGTATTATATAAATCTGTCTTTTGAAGATAATGTTTTTTATGGACGATTGGAATTTCGTGCTTTTATAACAACAGAAACTAGAGGCAATCCTTTGATATTTCATACTAATGATTTATTGATTAATTCAGTATTAGTAAGTCTTACTACTGAAGAAAACGCAAATCCAGCCAATTTTGAACTAAATAATAACCGTTTGATAATCCGTCCGCAAGGAGCTGCATTAAGTTATCTTGTTATTATAGAATATTCAGGAACTTTAACAAATGATGCCCGGGGACTATATTACGGAGTTAATAATGCGTAACTAATCTTTTTACTACATAATGTTGAAAAAATATGTCCTTATCTTTGGTTTTCATAATCAAGTGAAGTTTGCCATATGTAACTTTAATTATTGATCTTTATTAATTCATATCTGTTTTCGATATTCTGTTAGTGTTTAATCTTTTTTCATGATGGGTAAATCACGCTTTGAAATAAGATTATTCTCACAACTAAACTTTTCTATATTTTTTTCAGTTACTTGGCAATGAATCTTCATCCAACTAACGCAAGACGAGTATTTCCATGCATAGATGAACCAACAGAAACACCTCTAATATCTTTCACAATTAATGATGTCAATTATCAAAACTTAATATCAAACTCGAATCCAGTAAATGATAATCCGTATGTACACACTTCTACTTTGTCTATGTGTTTTATATTTCGTTTAATTATCAAAACCTCGAAAAATTAAAAATTAATTTGTTTCAGGAATTCATTTACAGCGTTGTCAGGGGCGCCATTTCGATGGGCACTATTTGGACATAATTTTACTACCTATGATGCACCGAATCCAAATGTCCTACTTTCTGGAAGACCAGGTTTGGCAGGTCAAGAAAATGTTGCATCTCAAGCCATCAATTCCTTTTACCTCTTCCTTAATACGTGGACGGACAAATCCTACTTTGAAATAGTAGTCGATCAGTCAAATAATATGCATATTATTGCTCTACCGGACGTCGATATTGAATGGAATTCGCTATCAATTGTAGGTCTTTGGTAAGTAAGAAAAATATATAAAACGTTGCTTTTGTTATTATATAAATTAAATAAAAATAAAGAAAGATGGGTTATAATATTTTTTTTGCAGGGAACCTTATTTATTTATGCAAACTCAACATTCGGTGCAGCAAAGACAAATTGCCCTTGTAAAGATTGCTGAAGCTTTAACACGACCGTGGTTTGGATTTACTCTCATTGCAGAAAATTGGATATACCAGTGGGTTTTAACTGGTTTGCAAACTTATGCTGCATATGAAGCTGTAAAAGAGGTACATAAGATGATTGTGTAATAACATTAATGATTTTGTTATTGCAAAGAGATAGTTAATACAACCATACCTGAGACAGTGTTCTGTGCCTTTGAGATACTTTTGTGTTTAGTATATAGATATTTCATATACAGTCGATTCTAGAATGACAATACACAACATTGCACTTTTTCATTGTTATTTGTACTTGTATTGTTTGCTCACTATTAATGTGTTAATGTATTTCTTATTTATTTTCTTTCAGTTTGAAAGTGAAAGTGAAACTGGGATTGATTACAATGCTATTTTTGTCACCGATATAATACAGGAGAGTTTGTTACGTGATGGCTACAGTGCTGCATCTGTTTTAGAACAAACAGAACCAATGTACGATGAAGTAGCTATCAGAAATCATATAAGTAATGGTTTAATGAAATATAAAGCTCCAGCTATACTGTCAATGTTGAGACTAGTACTAGATGAGGAAAATGATTTTATACAAATTGGAGCTCAAGGCTTGTTCGTTACCAGGTATGTATCATTTTTAAATTAAAAAGTATCTCATTCCATATCTTTATCTTCACGCCGTATCCCTTGCGGGGTAGGTAGACCGGGTAAAAGACCGATTATTTCCACATAATAATTAAAATTTTAATTTAGCCTATAGTTTTAGAGGGCGTATAAGGAGCGTGAGTAAGATGAAGAGCGCAGAGTGTTCCGTACAAATGAGGTTACAAATAGTTTTCAAGCCTTTCAAATGATACTATACTTGACTTATCAGTTTCATATTTTAATTTAAAGACGATATTCGATTCGATTACAATCTATCCATAGGGAAGGCCTGAGCCTCACAGCAGTGGTTGAATTTATAGGCTGGTTATGATTCTGATGACACATTTTGTAGTTGAAGACTATATGCAACACTTACTATAATGAGATAGAAGATGGACAAAAAAGTATTTTGTTTTTACGCCCAGCTTTAACGTGTCGTATTATCGTCTATGATATTATGATACAGGGTGAAAAGAAATAAAGTTATTTTCAGATTATAAGTTATCGCTATTGCAAACGGTACTGGGAAATACCTATACAAGTGATTACCTTGGGTAGGGAAAATTAAATAAGCCAAAACAAATATTCTCCACTATTTCTAGATGGTGCAATTGAACATATGACACAAGATCCTCTATTTTTACTTTAGTTAGTTATAAACAATCAAAACTAGCACACAATAACACATTATTTTTTTTAAAAAGATTAATAAAATCTTTGTTAAATAATATTTTAGAATAAGTACGTATTTCCGTGATTACTTTCACCTGAAATGTAGTTAACGTATTAATGAGAAATTGGTAACAGAAATGGCAATAGCAGGTTTATTTTATACTAATACAAGCTTTCCGCCAGGCTTTATTTGATTACTTGACGGTAATTTTACTGTAATGTACTTCCTTAACAATTTAGTTTGATAAAAAGTAGCTTAGTAATAATGTATTACCAAATTTCAACAAAATCCGTTCAGTAGTTTTTTTATTTACGCCAGTGATGTGGCGGGTTGCACAGCTAGTTCACTTGTATTTATAAAATTCAATTATTAAGTTGGGTATTATTATTAAGTATACAGCGCCTGATGAAGAGATGCGACCCTCCTAGGGTAGTTATGAGGACGCGACCTCGTCCTTCATGTCTATGTCTAAAGAAAAAAAGCACAATAAGTGAATTGAAACTCAACTCATTTTTGCAAATGCTGTGCAATTTTTAATGAATGAAAATAACTTTAATTTTAAATAATAGCTATACAACATTTATTTTCATTGCTCTGTCGTTTAAGGTATGTACCTTAGTGTGTACTTTAAGGTATGTACCTTAATGTGTACCCACGTAACTTGAAGACTTTTGCTAAATTGTAATAAACCCTTCTAAGTTCCTTTGCTATGTTTTCTGAAAAATTCAATGTCGTCTATCAACTTCCACTGAAAGCAAACTTTTCGATTTGTTCATTATAAGTAATTTGCTAGTCGTTTAAGTGTACTTACGAAGATAAGTTTTCAGCGTCCTCCTGTTCGTCTCGCTTTATGCTGCATTCTTATTAGCCTAAAGGTGAATTAGTCCCTGTGGGTATAATAGAGTACTCAGTTTGATTTCTATTGTGAATTATTTCATAAAATATCTCAATTTTAGAATAAGCTAATATTTATTTTATATATAAGCTTTATTAAATGTAAGGTGTTCTATTTTCAGCAACTTGGATATAATGAACACTTTCAACTTTAGAGACATTATCAATGACCCTTGGAGTGCACTAGAAGATAGACACATCAATAATTTGGAAGAGTTTTTGGATCCATATATAAAACAAAGAGGATGTCCACTGTTAACAGTCAATTATCAAAGCAACTTAGTAACAATATCCAGGGTAAAATTATTTATTATTTTAATCGTGGATATTATAATTTAATTATGCATTTATGCTTGTGTGCATTTTGTACTTATTGAATTGGAATAACTTGCTTTAATAATCACTTTAATTACGAGTATATTCTTATACGTCTTAAATTATAAGTTCATATTTACGTCTTTATGACCATATTTATGTATCTTGTTTATTTAAACAGGGCACCTTTAATTATGGTGGTCAAGTGAGTACAACGAACTTTTTCATACCTGTAACATTTACTACCAGCAAAGACTTAGATTTTGAAAACGTGTTTCCTCAATATGTCTATCAAGAGCCTACCTCTAGATCGTTCCAAGTAGATTTTGAAGATGATGATTGGATTTTATTCAATATTCAAGGCAAAGGTAATTCATATAAATCGTCTAAAAACGTTAATGTTCAGTGCAATTGTTTTAAACCTTACTTAAAAAATATTTCCTTACAATAGGATATTATAGAGTTCAATACAACACGGAGATGTGGGAAAGAATAATCGCTGCTCTTGGGGATCCTGAACGTAGAGAAGAAATACATTCGTTAAACAGAGCTGTTGTGAGTTATAAAAATAGTATACAACCTCCTTTTAATCTTGCTATTATCAAAAAGGTTGAGTCAACCGTCATAATTTACTTCTTTATACTTCTCAGATTCCTTGTAGGGTAGACAGAGAGAATCAGGCTCTACATGTTATAGTAATTAGGTTCACTCGTCATTAATTTCTTTAACACTGATAGATCTTATCGTACATACTTGTTTGTTTTTATGGTTTCTGACATCATTTTCAATAACATACAATAGATTTGATCGTGGAAAGTGTATTAATGCAATCGACATCCTCTTTTGCGCTGTATATTAGTTTCGACAACCTATCAGCAGAAATTCTTTCTATATGTAAAATCGGGTAAATTCTGATCAACGTTTTCTTTGAACGTTTATTCAAATTATATACCTGCCATTTAAATATAAGACACTGACTATTATATTTCTTGTCAATTAAAATGAAGAAAAAAATTATCCAGTCGTTTAGTTAAACATACTTTTTCTTTTCAGTTAGTAGACGATTCCCTCAATTTGGCAAAGCGAATAGTTTCTGGTTTAAACTATGATATTGCTCTAAGGATAGCCTTAACTATGGAACTAGAAAAAGAATACCCTGTGTGGAAAGCCTTCATAAGAGATATGAATTACTTGAAAAAACGTCTCCTTGCCTTGGTACAAATGGAGGAAGGCCTTGACCCGGATATTTATTTAGTAAGTTTGTTTTAAGTTTATTTTGAGAGCAAATCTCCACTTTGTATTCTGTGTGTAAATTCAAGTTTCTTGAATTGCCATTTTCATATGTTTATATAGAGAATGATACGGAGAACGGTTGCCACAGTAGAAAATGAACTGACCTTCAGACCCGATCCTAATTCTCTTGAACCAGCCATGGATACTCTTACTCGTGGTATTGTTATGGATCATGTATGTCGAGCCGGCTATGATCCGTGTATAGCAGCTGCTATTGATTGGTTCCATAATGGTGGCGATAGCGTGTAAGTACAACAGAGCCAGTTTAATTTTCTACAATGATCTATGTGAAAATTGAAGCGATTCAATAATTATTACAAAAGAAGAAAATTAAAAAATCCAATTAAGTACCTATTATATTTTTATGAAACGTCTACCGCATAATAATATTCATATTTCGTATTGTAGGAATCCAAATATTCCCCATGACTTGAGACCTGCTGTTTACTGTACAGTTGTGCAAGGAGGAGGTGAAGATGAAAGGGAAATGTTACTTGATCTTCTAGAAGAGGGTACAGAAACTATGCAAGATCGCATTGTCATATTAGAATCACTGGGATGTTCTCAAGATGAAGATTTTATAATGAAGTAAGTATATACTATATATAGGCTATATAGGAAAAATAGTAGTCTTATGGGTTTCTAAGCACGAATGAAGCTGTCTTTAGGTGAAGCATTCTCGCTTAGTACGAAAAAAAATGATCATACATGAACAATATTTTCACCTTCTAAAGATGAATATCATTAGCAGAATGTACTATTTATAACATCATACCTCTGTAGTACAAAAACTGTGTATTTTTCAGATACCTCGACGATACAGTATCCGATGAAAGTCCATATTCTACAGCAGAGAAGCTTAGAATATTCAAAGCAGTAATAGAAAGTAGCCACAATAACGCCAGGATAGCCACCGCATTTTTGAGGGATAACATAAACGACATCAGACAACAGTTAGTATCAAAGTATTTTAAAGTACTGTTGTGAGAAAGCGCATAGCTTCGTTTTGGATGAGGATATGTCTTAGTGATAATAGCATAATCAGAGCCGTAAGTTGGGGCTTGGACAATCCTATATATAAGTACTGGATTTCGGTGTACCAGAGCGACAACAGAAAAAAATATTTGACAATGTGTAATACTACTGAATTTTATATTAATTATTATTTTATTTTATGTAAGTTTTATTTTTACTTTATATTATGTATTTGACTGTTTATTGGGTCTTTAATGCCTTTCAATAAATCATTATTATAAGTAAAATTATTTTAAAGTATCAAACTCTACATGGTAAAATTTGATTTTTTGCATAATTTTAATTTAATTATAAATCGATCAAAAGGTTATGTTTGATTCGGTTACCACAGTGACCATAACAAAAAGCAGAACTTGCCATGGCAGCAGCTGACTAATGCTATTATACAAGTGACTCAATTTATTCTTTGGATATTGAACATTTTTATGATTAGAAAAATCATAAACTGTTATGCGTGAATAAAATTAAGACAAAAAAGATATGCCTTAAAATTGTATGGCAATGGTTAGAGAACTGAATTAATAAACTGATCAATAAAGTTTATTCAATAGTAATACTACCTATAACAATACTTTCCTATCATGGTGTACTTCATCAACGTATTGGGGTTAAAAAATAATTGAGGACAGTTTCGGATAACATGATGTGGGTGCTGCTAAGTGTAAAAGTAATCAAAATATTTAATTTACTAAATGTTAGTAATGAAATGTCTGAAGGTATAATTTTGTAGATTGATTTTAATTACTGTAAAGGCAGTTGATGAAATGATTTTATTTTCCTAGGTACGGTGGCCCCGCAAAGTTAGAAGAACTTATTTTTATAGTCGCTGACAATATTGCGGATCATATTGCGGCTGAAGATGTAAGTATTTTTGAAAATATCATTGCTCTAGTGGTTCCTCAACTGTCGTAGTCCGACCGTAAAGTTTGAATATTGTTAAAGTTTTATTATCAAATACGTACTTCTTTGTAATTGGTTGGTAAACGCATGTGACTGTGTATAATATTTTTCGTAGTACTGTGTGTACATTGGCTCATTCATAATTTGATGTATTTTTTTGGGTATTATCATAACAAAATATTAGTTCCGCTTCCGCTGTTCTACTCCATATACACTTTAATTGTGCTAAATTTCGTACTCTCCCGTATTCGTAACTGTAATAGACTTCAAAATCGAACATAAGGACCTTCTCTGTTCAAAGTTTTTGTTTCACGAGTCAATACAAACAATTAATGAAAATATTGATTCATAATTCAACTTTTAAACGGTTTCATCGTATTTGTATCTAGTTTTAGACGTTTCGGATACATAAGACTAAGGTATTGATTATTTTTTTAATTAAAAGTATAGCTTTCTTCAAAAAACCAACATTATTAGACACATTTACAAATGAAGAAATCAATAGATTTGTCTATTTTAAAATCCAACAATATAATCATTTTCAGTTCCGCATATGGTTGGAGAATAATAACAACCACATATTGGATTCAGTACCCGCAGCAGAGATTGCTATGGAAATAATCGACGAAAATATGGCTTGGGCCGACCGGCATCTACAGGATGTTTATGATTGGATAGAAGTGAACGATTCTATTACAGCTGGTTTTTCTTTATTCCTTTTATGTATAACAGCTGCAATTACTTTATTTGCATAGATAATTTAGGTTTCAACCTATATAATTAGTATCATGTGATTAAGATCATCAAAATACAAAAGTACATATTTTGATGCGGGTATTAAATGATTTAGATGGCATAAAATTATGGATTTCTTCAATTTTGTAGCAAATTAAGATTGTCATATTTTTGATGAAATTTATTTTAAAAATTATTCTTGGTGATGAGATTTCTAATCACTTTCCAAAGAACTTAATAGTAACCTGTAGTTTTAGTGATACTTAAATGTGATTATTTTGTTAACGAAAATAATTAACAGAAATAATCATATAAATACTTTGTTACCCTTAACGTATTTTGTAAAATATAGGTATTTAGTTTTTTTTTTATTTTAGTTAATAGTTTCATATTGATCAAATAAACTAATTAATGTACATATTAAGATAAGTAATTTTTAATTTGGTTTTGGTTCTATATAATAGATTTGTATTGCAAAATATAGGTGTATTTTTTTCTTTAAATATAGAAGTATATTAAGTATTATCAAAGGTCTGGTGTTGGTTTAGTATAATAAGTAATATGTCTAGGTTTAGATGTTTAAATGTGCAAGAGGAAAAAATAACTCAATACTATTATGATAAATAGTATCAGAAGGTATTTTATCCTCTCTGGAATGCGATACAGATAAACGATGTTTTAAAAGTTCTTACGAATCGTTCGAGAAGTCGCTTGATCGGCTTATCAAATGTCAAAGTGAATTCGTTTATCATGAAATATAATCTATATATGATAAAAACTCTCAAGATGGATATACAGTATCAGAATTGTGTTCTTATTTTTATCGATATACTTAACTGAAATATCCAATGATTCACTATCGCTTCTTAAAGAATTTGTTAATAACTAATAAGTCGAATGCTTGGAATTGTAATTCAATTTGACTATTAATAACGTTTAATTTTTTGATAGCTTTAATAAAGTATTATTATTTTCAGTTTGTAAATAAATTTTAAATTATATAAAATCTGTATCGCATTTTGAATATGATAACATCCTGTTATGCGCGAAGTTATAACAGGAAAAGTTATTAGAATTTAGTTTTATGATCATATATATATTTTTTAATATTAACACAAAGTTAATGTAAACTTATTAATCATTTAAATTTTAATATAAAAATTATGACTTTGTATAAAAAAATATTATAATCCCAATTTTTAGATAGTTAATATGTAATCGAAAGAAAAATATCTAATTATGTATTACCATGTAGTGTAAGATATTAACTAAGTAGAAGATGATAAATAAATCGCTTTACAATTGTTTATGCTTGAAGAATGTTCTAAATTGCACAAAGTGAGTAGTTAGATATGGCTTAGAATTATATTATTATAATTAAGACTTAAAATAATTTATGAACTAAGTCGTGCAAGTTGAATATTGTTGGAACAAAAAAAAAATGTTGAATTTATAATAAGGTACTCGTCTAACTACGCCCACTTTTTTCAACCGCTGGAGTACTAAAAAACTAACTTTCAATAGCAGTCCCACAACGACAGATCTTTAATAATGGTATAATGAAATTTGAAGGTATATCAAATGGCATATTAGGGCTTTAGCGGTCATAAATAGTGGGCCTTATTAGGCAACGGTACCTTATATGAATTTATAAAATATCCAAATATTGTTTCAAAAAATTTTTTCTTCAAATAATCTATTGGAAAGAAATACATATTTTACCTAAACTAGTTTTATCAATTTTGCATAACTATGTATTCTCTTAATTTTAAACTATCATATTATTGGATAGTAATAGTAACAGTAGGTAATCACTAGATTTCGTTATTTACGAGTTATTTATAAGTTTTTTGTTATGGTTTTAATTTTAAGTTTTATACTGCATTTTCACTCATATTTTTTTATTTTAATAATTTTAATGGATAGGTATTTTTAAAAAGATAAAAATACATTAGCGAATAAATAGTCTTATTTAATTATTTTTAAGTGCAACTCGGCGATTTGAAGCAAACGCGTCCTCTTGCTTCAAATTTCAGATAAATATAGATTAAGGCACAACATTTAATTGTTTACAAATCTTCTAATTTTAAGTTGTATAAACTAAGTAGAAGTAAATAAATTAAAAATAGTAAGTATCTAAAATGTAAATGTTACAATATTAAAAAAAAATGCAAAAATATATCCACCCGCTCCTGGTACTCTGAGGTGGGGTTCGACCCACAACCTTCCGCAACCCGAGTGACTGCCATAACTGCTAAGCTTTCCAGGATCTAACAGGACTGACGAATGTTTAAAGCACATGTTACTTTTTCGCTACAACAGAGCGTATTTCTATCAATTTTCAGGCAATTCACTCAAACGGCTGAAAGAAATATTTTACAAATATTTAACTTTCGATAAAAAATTAAACAAATATAATAATTAGAACAAATTGTCATATTATTCGAAAGTTTCAAATATTTATAAAAATATTTCTTTTGCTTGTTTAGAGAGCGCCCGAATTGCGAAAGGTCGTGAATTCGAGTCTCATCTCAGTGGGTGGGGGGATTCCTTAAGCATTTTTCATTAAGAATATTTTATAGTATAGCATTGTGAAGGCAAAATTGATCAAACATATTAAATATTAAAATAGTTTTAAAAACCTGATTTTGGTATTTCATTATTCAAGCACGGACTTCATTTCATTTTCTTGCATCCATGTTTTTCGAACACGATCATTCTCGAAGTAAAAAAAAACCTAAAAGAAAAAACACAACAAATAAGTTCAGTTCTTGTCTAACCTTCATACACAATTTTATTATAGTTATTGACTAGGAAACAAAAATTACAGTTATCAATATTAGTATAAACATATTTAAGCAATAAATAACAATTTTTATTGTAATTTACATTACTTTTATTGAATTTTGCGTGATAATCAGGATGTCAGGTCGTATGTTGAAATAAGCATTAATTGATTGATCAACAATTTATTAACAAAGTTTTGCTTCTTGTCATTAATAGTCAGTTTAATATGTCATAAGTTAGAGCTTTTTATGACCAGGCATTCTAATATGGTTTATTATTTGTAATACGGCTGCTCTTTTCAAATAATAATGATTGTTATCTGATTTCCGCTTAAGTTATTCGCTCAGTATATCATTTTTCTCTCCAGTCGATCTCTCATTACTGACGATCTTGGTTACTGAAACTCATTAAACGAACAATCTTTCTTCATCGATTCCGGTCAGTAGTGGCCCTTATTCTGATACTCTGATAAGGATATTGCTCCTCTTAAATGGTCTGGCCATCGTATTGGTTACCACCCTAATGTCCTTTTTTTCTTCGGTATTGCCTATCGACAGTTTTTCAAGGCTATCATTCTCTTTTCACATACATCTTAATCAAATGGCCATAATAGAAACGTACCTGCCGAACACATGGAATGAAAATCAAAAATCCTTTATGTTTGATTTGTCAAAAATTTATATTCATATTATTTCAATTAAATTCTCATACTATAAAAAAAACCACAAGACCGTTGCGATACCGACAGATTGTGAGTACTGCGTATATGAATATTGTTTTTTTGTGACCGGTTATTATAAGAGTAACATACAAGAAAGAAAGAAAGGAATATCGTTTATTGTCGAGATCGCATAACACAAAAAACATTAAATATGGATGAATATAAATCAAAATGTGGTTTGAAACAGAATCAGATCAGAAAACGCCTTGCTGAGTTCAGCCATGAAATCACAGAGCGTGAATATTTTATATAAAAAAAACCCTCTTAAAACTATACACAGCAATTAAAAATGCATAATAAATAAAATAAAAAAACATACGAGCATTGCACTCGGTTAATCCGGCTAAAAGGGCATAATAGATGGTGTGGCATATTTGTTTAATAATCTATGTCAACCGCTCTGTGGCAACGTAATCTGTGACATTTGTATTTTGTAAGTGGCACTTCAACATCAAACAGTCTGAAATTAAACTCATAACTGTGAACACGTTTATTCATTTTACCAACCCTTCTTATAAATAGAGTCAGATAGTAAACTTACCAATAAGTTAAATATCTCCATATATATTAAATAAACACCCAAAACTTTCGGTATAATGGTATAGCTTGTTTCAATTTGGTACATTCAAAGTAATGATATGGTATGGTATAACTAAGAAATATTAAAGGTTTATCAACTGTATGAGCGACCCATCATCCTGATGTCCACAAACTGTGGTCCTCTTTTAATTATTCTGTAAAAATACAGCGTTGAACACATCGCAGTATTAGAGGTGTAATCAACTAAAATATATATTTCCTTAATAAGTAAGTTTCGTTTGGTTGAGTCTCTAATGAAACAACGCTATGTATGATACTTAGTTATACTATTTTGTCAAAAATAGCCTCAAACTCGAACAAAGAGCACAGCAGGATCCAGGCCCTTCCCTAAAAAAAGGGGCGCACGGAGAGCGTTTCGTGGGTATACTATTCTCGTTAAGACTAACTTTTAGGCGGGTCCGTGGGGATGGAGAGACCTACAACCTGTCGTCTGCCGCCTGTCAAGCGGGAGGATAGTGGACCCAACATTCCTCTACGGTTAAAAAAGGTTTTGTTTGATTGATTCTATACGCAATGACAGCGTTGAATTCGTCTTCGCTGCTCTTGGCTGTTTTATTACAGAATAGTATCACCGGTTGGTTATGAGTTAGTAATTACTTAAGATATATAAATCAATAACAATTATAAATGGTTTCTTTAACAAACAATATTTCAAAAAATGAAATTGAGGCCACAAAAAATAAACCCTAGTTATTAATTGATAGAATATTATTTTTTAAAGGGCAGCTTTACATTGAAAAGAACAAATAAATAAATTACTAATTTATAAATAATTGATTTAGATTAAGTGTCAGTGTCCATTTTCCATAAAATATAATGATACTTAATAACTGCCATAAAATGATATTTTATTTAAATCCCATTTGCTCACATAACCGTAAAATTATATATTGTGAGTTTGTCTTGATAAATATCTAATAGTTAATATAAACAATAAACAAAAAACGCCATTACGATTATAATTACGCCTCTCTTATTCGAAATGTAACAAGGTAATAATATCGGCCTTTTTGAGAAAATGGAATATAACTAATAAAATAGTTCTGAAATCATAATTATTTTCACGCCAAAAGTATCTCTATATTCTTACGAATAAATATTCAATATTTTGTCATGTTCTTCTTCGACATCACTGATCAACTCTTTATCACTGCCTGCACAAAGAATTTTCTCCTTTACGAAACGAAATGAAATGAAATGTTTTTATTCAAGTAAGTTGTTACAAGCACATTTGAATCGTCTAAAAATATTTTTTCCCCTACCACTTGTTCAGGACGTCTTTTAACTGACAAAAAGAACAAGCGAAAGAAACTTACCAGCTTTTTATCATAAGTAATGACATTTACATAAATCATGTCATTACCAAAATAATACATATGTTGAATAATAATAAATACAAGTTTCAAAGTCTGTAGGACATAGGTTGGTACATACCTATAATTAATCGTTATAGAACAGAGCGAAGGCTATTATTTCAAGCATCGCGGTCCTTAAAGTAATCATCAACTTTATAATAGCCTTTACTCATAAGTATATTCTTTACATGAATTTGAAATTTATTTATGGGTAGGTCAATTACATTTTTTGGAACTTTATTGAACATAGCAATACAACTACCCAGAAATGATCCTCTGGTTTTTTGAAGTCTGAAGCTTGGAAACTTATACCTCTTTTTGCAAGGGCAGTTTCGTGATTGCTGGTCGTTCAATGATGTATTTTTTAATACTTGTATTGTATTTATTTAGTTTATTGATTATTCTCTTTTCCAGTACTTTTTGTTCTTCTTCATTCTGTTCATTTTTTTGGTTCTTTCCACGCCTTGGATATCAATATTTCTCTATACATAGTCGTTCCACCTAATGGCATATTTTTTGTTATTTTGTTATAGAACACGTAAATGTTTCCAAGTTCAAAATTGATAAATTTATGTTGCAAAAAGATTATACTTTACATGTCTGTTTAATGAATTTGATTTGAAGATCCGTATAGTAACGTTAAGATATAGTATAGAATTTTTTTCTGTATTCGTATTGTATTAAGAATGTTGTACTAACATTTATTTGTAGAATAGATCAAAAACACAGTAAATAAATGTACCGTAAATCAAGAGGAATGTATACATATATGAAAATAAATTTTAGAAAAGTTATAAATATAAATCATATAAAAAACACATATATTCAATCTTATTACATCGAAATAACTTTTTATCACACTTATGACTAATGATAAATACTTAAGAAAACTAAAATTTATTTGTTACAAAATATTTAGTATAAACAATTTAGATTCGCTTCATTCCAGATTAGAAATTATATATAAAGTCATTATAATTTATCAAAACCTAAACGACGGCAGTGGGCAGATCCAACTTTAATATTCCTAAAAGATCTATCTTAAAATATTAACACTCAATACAGCTAATACTAAAATAACCATTGAAGAGCCGATGTGATGAGATTTGTCTTTGCTGATATCTGTGAGTGCACTTTTTTCAGTTGACTGCAAACAAATTGTTAAATTAAAAAAAAACTTTATAAATAATAACCTATAATGACAACTAATACGATTCTTTATTGGGACCGCAATCGAAACTTTATATTTAAACACTAGTTATATATTAGCCAAATGAGTATAAACTTGTTAATGAGGACGACAAAAATTAAAAAAATTCACAATATATATTCGAATTATATACAGATACGCGATAATTACATTAGCGCTTTTTAATAATATAATGAGAATTTATGAATTCGCTCACCAACTTTTATTTGTTTGTGTACAACGAATAATCACCAAAATAGTTGGGATGATTTTTAAAAATTTACTGACGGGAAATTGTATCATACGCGGGTGACATAGGCTATAATTTACGCAGGCGAAATTGCGAAGAAACAGCTGGTTCCATATAATTTATCAGTATTAATTATGCTTGATTATAAGGCTTCAAATTTAATTTCGTTTCGTCTTTTATTTATATACACTCTAAGTTCCATAAAAAATATCAAAAAAATAATACTGATCACAGTATGACCATCTAAAGTCACATTATTTATATATAGATAAAATAAATTTGTTTCGGATGTAAAAAATAACATGTTACGTGTTTATGTTCTTTGTTACTATTAATATGTTTATTGTACTTACTAGAGGTTCAGGTTTTATGGTGGTAGACATAGATATATTTTGTGGCCTTGGTTCACCGATCGGTATTCTCACCAAAAAATTGCTCTCCTTCCGACTGCAAAAATAATGGCATTTTTAGAGAGAAGGTAACGAAATTTTCATCTTTATAGAGGACCTGTACCCCGAAAGCAAGGTCAATAATAAGGTAATGATAACCATGGAAAAAATGTAAAGTAAAACGTCTTTTCTTTACCGTACTATTTGATTATGCTTATTGTGTTATTGTAATTAAAATATTAAAGCTGTGTATTTCATAAAGCTTGAAATTTTTAAGTTACACATAAGACTTTCATTAACCCTATTATACTGTTCGTGACCAGATAAATACAAAAAAAGATAAATAAAAAAAATACAATTTGTTATTTAGATTGGAATATAATTTCTGTATCACTGGTTAAAATTAAGTAAATTTTATCTAGGTATTTTCAGTTGAAGTACTCACTGCAGATATTCCGCATAGCTCTTGTCTTCAGATTCAAAAGCATTGAATACATCTGTGTTAGAGAATCCATTAGAAGAATCATACGTAACGTAGTAGCACGCTGGACGAGAATCTGGATCGATTCTGTATAAACAATAATTTATATATTCAAATCAAATTTATAATATTAATAGGCATAAAACCGATTTGACCTACGTAATTGAAAAATATATAATATATATATAAATATTAATATAGCATTAAGAATGCAAAATTTATTCGATATTATAAGCCAAATTATATGGTTTACCGTTGATTCTTGTTCCTCCATTGTTTTAGTAAATGATTGGCATAGTTCAAACACTTTTCGTATTTGATTGTACACGCGAACTCTATAATCTTGCTTCGAAAATAACGTATGTGTCGTTGTTGCTCAATACTATTTGTCAATATCTTGTACATTGGCACCACTTTCATGCGTAAAAAGCTCTGTAAATAAAACAACTCATACTTTAACTTTTTAAATGATTATCATTATAAGCCTCTTAATGTTGGCTGAGGCTCAGGACTTCCCCCTGAGGGGAATCGAGTAAGGAGAATGCAAGCTCAGTGCAGATTGGCGGATGTTAACTATTGCAGGTACAGCCGGGATCAGCGGCTTATAGTGCCTTCAAAATCATGGAGTAGCTCGAGATAATAATTTTTAGTTATTCATCCTATGATCAGCCCTTGCGAACTTGCTGAACAAGCCGTATTACGTTTTTCTCCAGGATAAAAAACAGTCAGCAGTCTTCCTGATTACGAAAGGTCATGGATTCAAGTCCCATCATAAAGTGGATTTTTTAAGCATTTTTCACTAAGAATATTTTTCAATATAGCATTGTAAATTCAAAATTGTTCAAATATAATAATTAAAATAAATTTTCATCTTTATCGAAAGTTTAAGTATTTGTAAAAATATTTCTTTCGGTTATCATGTGTTCAAGTCCCATCTCAGAGTGCCAGAGACAAAGTGGTTTTTTTAAGCATTTTCCAATCATTCACCATCCATTAAGAATAACTATCCTATATTTCGTATTTATAATACTTTTATGGATTACATACATATTTTACATTTGTCGAGATATTACCTATATCTTCGTGGACCACCAACATATTTCTTCGGTGCTCTAGGCCGTAAAGCACTTTCAGAAATGCTGAATTTTAAAAAGTAAAATACTTATAGTTATTAATAAAAAATTAAGTAGAAATTGATATAAAAAATAGATTAGGTCGTTGGTTTAGGTATACACAATATTTCATCAGTAAGAAAAGTTATTTTCATCTATCGACTTCATCGATGTTTCACCTTGATTAGCTTTGGTTACTATTTTGGTGAGACTTTCAGAAATAAGTTTCTATAGTGCTACTTAAAGTAGCATATTTTATTAAAGCTTGAGTGCCACGCAGACTCAAGCTTTAATAAAAACTTTTAATTAGTCAGATTTTTCTATTAGTTTTGTTTTTATAATGTGTCGAATGATATTAGGTCACGATTACACATACCTGCCATTCCCTATACAGGATTTTAGTCATATGGCATTTAGCGCCATCTGTCCTCAGCATCTCGTAACCTGATATTACAGCTTCCCATACAAGGAAACTGCGTTCTTGATCCAAGTAATCTAAGACGTACTGAGCCAAATCCTGAGATATATCACCAGACGTGTATAGTGCAAAAACATCATTCACAATCTGAAAATTGATGAATAAAAATTACCATAAATAAAACTCGGAATATTTAACAAATAAAAGAATCAAGTTATTCGATCAACAGGAACGCATAATTTCATATCTTACCTAAGTAAAGCTAAATAAACTAGTACAAAATGTTATTAAACCGTACAAATAGATCTTATTTTTGATACAATGTTTCAAATATAACGTTAGAATGTTAAAATATTCCACCAGACTTTGATAATGACAAGTGATATAATCAAAGTGTCCAAATTATATAAAGATTTCATAGCAAACAATTACTTACCTGAGCCCTGTTCAATTCGTCTATTAAACTCATATCATTCTTCAAAGTCTGTGCAATAAGTTTCCACGTTGTCTCGTCATAATTAACACGGTAATAACCTGGAAATTCAGAAATGAATGATTAAGAAAATCATTTTTGTGTCATTTATACGTTAATATATCTGCATGTAACGTATACAAAAAATGTTTAATTTCCCATTCACATTTTTTAAGGATGAAAGAATATATAAAATGTTCATCAGAAATGTTAGAGAAAAATGAAAACTATATACTAAACTTACTACAATAAACTCTCATGAAATTTACTTTCACTAAAATCAAACAATAATTAATTATAAAGGTATTTACGTAAAGAAAAATATTTCAATGAGTAAATAAATAAACTTCAAGATGAAACAATGTATCTGGACTGTATTCATCACCGGTTTTGGTCTAAATATGGGCCATGCGTGGGTGCATAATAGTTCGAATACCAACAATAGCCATGACCAAGGATTACTCAATGTCATCCAGAACGAATTTAAGTTTACTAGATCAACTATTTATATGTAGGTCACAACCGTATTTCTCAGGACCTTTTCATCCTTAGCAGTAACAAACTGTACAGTCAGTTGCACAAACGTCCATTAAAATTTTCATTAGTTTAAGGCGACATTATCTATACAGATATGACATTTATTGGAGCGTAAATGCGTCATTAAACCTTAATAAACGTTTGTGCAACTGACCGTTCATTAACAACAATAATTAATGTATTTCTTTTTCGATCTACATTATTATATGATTTTAGTTAAACTTTTGTTCAACAAAATTGTTCTTTTTAATAACTATTCATTATTCAATCTAGGCGTTCATAAGTACTTGTTAATTACGAAAAATTATCTATAACATTGCGATCATAAAGCAACAGATTAGAATGTCAAATATTTAGATTATTGTTTTTTTTTTACATACATTCTAACTTAAAACATAAATTAAGCAAATTAATGCAACCCTTAGTAGGAAAATAATATTAAATAACACATTTAAAAAAGCTTTCGTAGAATAATATGCTAGGTGCGAGTTTGTCCCATTGCTAAACTTTTAGTAAATTTGACCTAATTTGATTTGAAAAGTGATTTAGGTATTATTATAACTAAATTATTTATGATATAATTAATTTTATAATGTAAAATAGTACAAACATATACGACCTGCATAGACAAGTGGCTCTCTGTGGTCCATTCAATTTAGAAAATGTTTTGGGATCGGAGAAATGTAAGCAAATTAAATCTAAACTATATTGCAGATTAACTAATGGCATAGTTAGTAGCGCCTTCGTTTTTTTATTAATTGTGCTGTACTTCTTATTAAACCCAAAATTATCGAGAAAGATTTTCATAAAAAGCAAGATGGCACTTTTTTTGAGCTACTGAATTGTTATATCTCTCTTATATAGACGTATCATAGTTCGTAGCAGCTTAATTTCGTAATACCATTGATGAAATATAAAATAAACTCTTATAATTAACCAAAAAACTTCGAAAATAGATTTCATTTTAATTATTATCATATGTCAATAAAAATAATAAATATAACTGAAAAATTACTACTAAATGCAATGCACCAGCGTTCCGAGCTCAATTTGTATGGCCGCATAGCGAGTTCGTTTGTATTTGTTATAGGACTATTAAAATATTATAAAAGAGTAGACACTTAATTGATAAATAAATCTGACTCCTAAATATTAGTTTTTAAAGTCTACGCTGATTCGTAACAGTTTATAAGATCACAATGATATCCATATCGTAGACTAGTTGCATATTACCTGAAGCGTGTCGGTTAAGAATAATCCATCCATTGTTTAAATTCTCCTTGAAGGTGTAGGTCTGCCTTCCTATTGTGAATCGAGGACGATAACAGTTATAGCAATTAGATATATTCTGCACAATGTATGATATTGGTATGAGATAATCAGTCTCTTGTCGGTTCTCTAGGGTGAAGCTGAAACGTCTCTGAAAGCGAATGAAATGTCATCATCATTATCACCTATTAATATCTCCAGTGTTTCGTTAACAGGCTTTCCATAAGGATAGAATTAATCGAGTAGGGAGAATCAGCCAAGACCATTTACGAGGGCTTAGTTGTTGGGTGTTAGCGATTGCAGATGAAGACGGGACTAACGGCTTGAGGTGCCTTCCAAAGCACGGAGCTCGAGATTAATTATTTTTGATCACCTATCCTATGACCGATCCTTGCAAAAATTTCTTAACAACGGTATGCAGACCAAACGCGCTAACCACTGAGCTTTCATTATTAAGCTATTGAAAGAATATAACCACTAAGAATGCACATAAGAGTTATACTGGATTTGTAGAGAAATATTTAGTTAGTAAAAAGTTATAAACCCCATAGATACCATTTTCGTAGACCAAAATTGTTATCTATGTAATATGCAAAGAAACTGACTTAGAATCTGTAAAAACTAAACTAAGTACCAAATACATATTTTCCAAAAAATATTACAATTATGTGAGAAGAATTATGCACATAAAAATACTAAGAGAGACTTACCTGTGTTAGTTGAATAACGTTACTAGACGAATCCCTCATAACGTATACATCGATAACAGGGTAACCAGAATGACGAAACCATGAATTTAGGATTTTCGATGCGGTAGAACCATTGAAGAACTGATGGAAACATTCGACTGTATCATGGTCTAGACTCTGCATGAAGTCTGGTAGTGAAATGAACTTGCCTCTCCTTGAAATTGTAAACTCATTATATGAATATAAAATTCTTGATTTGAATTATATTTCAGGAAATTTTATCACAAAGGTTAACCATTTTTCATATTTATGATTATTATAGATGCCTCAAAAATTTATCATGATTGCTAGCAAGGATATTAATAATTACGTAAAATAATGAAAAGTACTTGGGAAACTCGAAAATTGCATGGTATTCTCTTTTGGATCAAAGACGGTTGATGTTGAATAATGAAAGGTCAGACTTGTAACTCTCACTAAGAACTGTCTAAAATTACTTTATTCGAATTACTGATGGACACGAGAAAATTAACTTTGCCGAGTCAAGCTGGTACTGAAAAACTACTGTTTTAAAGTATCTTGTCATTAAAACTAGAAACTCTTTGAGCTATCTTGCAAACTTTTTTTTCTATATATATAATAGAAACTTAGCAATTTTACCTGCTATTGATATATTTCACCAACGCCTGGTGGAATTTCTCAGATCCAAGCCAGTTCTCTACCATCCAGAGAAGAGATGCCGTCTTCATGGTCACCAGCTCTTTATATCTGTGTGGAATATTGACAGCCAATTCATCGTTGAAGTTGATGAGAGCTGGAGTACTGTGGTGCCAGTCATGGGACATAGCTATTTGTTTCATACGTATGCCGTAATAATATAAAGACTGTTGATATTTTTTATGTTGCTCAGCGTAATCGTACTGGAAATTTACAAAAAATATAGGGATAAACCAAAATCTTTGAAAAATAAAAACTTTTATCACATCAGTAATTTCTTTTTTGATCAAAAATGAATATTCCTGTTATTAATCATGACAAGGCATTTTCCGGTATGACTTTATCTGTTTACTTATGAAGTTTATCTGTTTACATAAAACTATAATCACATTGATCTTAATGCAAAAATATGTAATAAAAAATCTGACTCAAAATATCGTCAGTTATAAAACTTCGACTTTTGACGGCCCTCTTTAAATTATTTCACCGTTTTACCTGTGCTAAGAAGTGATAAGCAAGATACGTGGCCACGCCCTCCTTAAACCATTCCTGTTTCCAACGAGTCCTGGCCTCCTCACCAGGGTTCCCCAACCATATTCTGCTTAACTGCTGTGCCAATTCGAACTTCATCTGCTCAATTTGTCTCACACTGATGAATTCTGGGAGATAAATGACGCGGATAACACTGCAATTTTGGAGACCGATGTTATTTTAAATGGAAATAGAATAAACAATACGATTATATTTCACAGGGTAGAGCTCTATTAATACGATTAAAAAGCAGCAAAAGAAAAATTATTGTGTAAATAAATTTGAAATCGTATTAATAATATAAAACTGTTATTATAACGTATTCATATAATTTGTCTTTGTCTGTTACAGTGGAAATAACAGTAGAAACAATAATTTACTATGATAAAATAAACAAAAACATACTTACTTGTTAGAGAGCAAATTCCAACTGGCTATTTCGTACCCATTTAGATACGTTGGAATACCCACAACATTGATCGGTCCAATAACTAACGAACGGTTTATGGAAGAATATTCATGGATTATGTCAATTATTGCTATCCCGAAGCGTAATATGAAATAGCAGTTCTTTATCTCGTCAGTTGGTGCCCACAAGACGAGCGTATCGTTTGTGTACTTAGATGAAAGATGAACTTTAGAAAATTGTGAATAATGAAATCCGAGCTGGTATAAAGTTACTTGGGGAGACGGCATATATTGAATTACAATCCTATTATCTGTTAACCTGGAAATTTAAAGAAAATAAATTGAAAAATATATCTCTCTCTTAAATTTATCCTACATATTATACTCCGTGCTTCGGAAGGCACGTTAAGCCGTTGGTCCCGGCTGCATTTGCAATCGTTAATACCCTCCAATCCGCATTGGGCCAGCGTGGAGGGTCATGGCCCATCCTCCTTAACCATCCATAAGGAAGGCCTGAGCCCCTGCAGTGGGGACGTAAAAGGGCTGGTGATATACATATTATACTGTATCTATATAATATGTAGGATAAATTATCATATTCTTATGATATAACAATACTCGGTAAATTAGAGCATCTTTCTCCAATAAATGTTTATGAAAGCGGTACGGAGTAAATAAGAGCGTCTTTCTCCAATAAATGTCTATGAATGCGGTACGGAGCTGATCGATGTGGAGTGGATCAGAACTGTGTGGGACAGCGACATCGACTGTAATTTTTGACTTTTTATCATGTAACAAGCCAAAATGTATGCGTCAAAGAATTCAACTACTTACAGGCAGATAATCTCTCAAAGTATAATTGAACATTATGTTTGATTTAAGTACATTTATATGAAATTCAAGTGGCTATTTAGTAGATTTGCAGATTACAAATCGCTACAATGATCCGCTTTACCAGCATCTTTTAGAAAGATATTCGGAAATAAAGGAATTCTATCGGTTTATAACGTCGTGTTGCTAGCTTTGAAAAAAAAAATAGCGTGATTGCTCACCACGTATAAAATTATTCACAGATTTTTTGTTATTCATCTCATCAAATAGTGAATGATTTATATATTATAAATTATGTTGTCACTTATACAAAGAACACCATAACTATTATATTACCATATGAACGTCAATTAACGCTTTTAAGACACAAAAAAATAATGGGCACTTTCTTTTGTAAAGTCTATAAATATCAGAAATAGAAAATCACTATCGGCTTTCTCTCTAGATACTAAAGTATCTTAATAGCGTAATTGTATGGCAAGCTATACTTATTACTCCTGTAAATTGTTAAACTTATTTCATAATTATTATTTTCATTTATTGTTTAGAAAAAAGTACAGAGATTAAAAACCTCTTGTCTTACGGCAAGCAATTGTTTCCAAGTAGCTAAAAGCAATTGAATTTTTCTACCACAAAGTTTTGAATTTTTCTACCACAAAGTTTTAAATGAGGTTCATATAATAATACTGAGAGACTGACTGAATTATATAGATGACATAATTTTTTGTGTAAATTATACATTTAGTGATATTTTTATCTTATTCACTAATTATTCGATTTCGACTGTCGGCCATTTAAGATATAATTACGTTGATTGTATCATTTTGTCACGTTAATTTTTAATAGATTTTTTCAGCAGAATTTGAACCGTTTATCTAAAAATAGGTGTTGTCTGATGCTAAAGCGTAATCGATACAAATTTAACTTAATAAATATAGCTTCGTTTCTGTATAGCTTCCACTGTAGTTCGCTCCCTAAAGTAGACTTTACCAAATACAGAAACTGTTCCGTTTTTGTGCACTGAGAATGATGTCAATTAAAGCACTCATACGTTACATGTCACCGATGCATCTGGTTTATAGGCCCTTTGCTTGCGTACGCGTACGATTAAGAGTCATTTTTGGTAAACATATGTCGGAAATCAGTAGATTTAATAATGCTATCCAATTATACAAATATGGTGAGCTATGTGTTAGAATACATTTTAACATCCATATAAATATGAAGTTATAAGTGCAGCCGTTCTTTAAAATTTAATATAAATTTTTAATATTCGTGCTTGTGATATACAAATATATTATTTCTCACATTATCGATTTCAAAACCACAAAGATATAGGTCACGGCACCGCACTCGTAGCCGCTTGCAATGCTCGGAAATTAAATACAGACATACAGAAACTAAGATAATTTGTTCAATATTATCGCCATTAAGATTACCATTAACCTTTATAAGGTCTTCGGGTCAACTTTGACCCATTTTGCGAAAAAAAAATTTTTTTCTCAAGAAATAAGACTTTTTAGATATTGATATTCTATGACTTTTATTTAATCACTGAAACAAGCTTATTTTCAATAAAATTAAAATATATATGTATATGTTAATTTGCTTTTTTAACTTTTTTACTCTAACGGTCTTCGGGTCAGATTTGACCATGCTTAGAATTGAGGTGGGTAGTTACATTTGTTTATAAGATCGTATGTCATGGGACATTATTATGTTATACCGACAATGTGACTAATAAATAAACGCCGGTGCGATAAATGTTAGTTGAACAAAGCGTATTCATTAGCTCGCAGTCGTAGAACAATATCGTGCCTGTAAAAATGAGAGACAGTGAAATAGAATCGATGTTACATGCATCAGATAACGAAGAATCTTGTTCTGAAATAGAAGATAATGTCGAAGAAGCTGAACAGTCTGATAGCTCGATCAGTGATAGTGAAGTGAATTCGCCTGTTCAAACAATGTCTTCAAAAGACGGAAGAATAAAATACTCTAAGGAACCAATTCAGCAATCTCACGGAAGAGCATCTAGAGAAAACATTATTAGCTTGATGCCAGGATTGACACGTTACTCTTACTCAAGGATTACCGCTGAGGAAATATCCAGTTTTCAGTTATTTTTTCCTCCCCCTTTATTACATACTATTTTGAAATATACTAATTTGGAGGGTAAGCGTGTTTTCGCTGACGATTGGAATGATATTGACAGTACTGATTTATTTGCATTTATTGGACTGATATTGCTAGCTAGAGTTTTTCGTTCATGTAACGAAAGCACTGAAAGTTTATGGGATACTGAAAAAGGAAGACCCCTTTTCGCGGCAGTCATGCCAATAAAAACATTCAAGAAATTATCGAGAGTAATAAGGTTTGACAATAGAGAAACGCGATCTGCACGGCGATTAGTGGATAAGTTTACTCCTATTCGAGAGTTGTGGAATCAGTGGGTTGATATATTACCTAAATTGTATAATCCTTCTGAAAATGTCACAGTAGACGAGCAGCTCATCGCATTCAGAGGAAGATGCCCTTTCCGGCAATACATGCCATCAAAACCAGCAAAATATGGTATAAAATTTTGGTTTTTATGTGATCCTGCAACAAGTTACGTTTGAAATATCCAACCATACACGGGTAAAGAAATGGGAAGCGCGCCTGAAAAAAATCAAGGTATGCGTGTTGTTCTTGATTTGACACGGGGCTTGAAAGGACATAACCTTACTGTTGATAATCTTTTCACGTCCTTTCAACTTGGACAGAAGTTACTAGAAAACCAGATTACTGTAGTTGGTACTATACGCAAAAATAAACCGGAATTACCACCAGAAATATTGGAAACGAAAAGGAGACCTTTGTATTCATCTTATTTTGCATTTACTGAAAATACTACAGTTGTGTCATACATTCCCAAGAAAAATAAATCGGTAAATCTCCTCAGCACTTTGCATCACGGCCCAGAAGTGAGTGATCGTGCAGATAAAAAGCCTGTAATAATATTAGATTACAATAAATGTAAAGGCGGCGTTGACACAATGGACAAAGTTGTCTCCTGCTACACCTGCAAAAGAAAGACAAATAGATGGCCCCAAGTAGTCTTCAGCAACATGGTCGATATATCAGCATATAATGCATTTGTATTATTCACAGCTGCCAATGATAGATGGATGGAAGGGTGTCTAGCAAAACGACGAATATTTTTGGAAAACCTAGATTAGCAGTTAGTTACACCATATATAAAATCCAGGAAAACCTTACCAAGGGCACCATTTTCTTTAGAAATTGCGAGAAAGATACGTGAAGCTAGTGAAACTGCATCAACTTCAACTCAACACGAAGAAAACAATGTTGTTACTGCTAAGAAAGCTTTCAAAAGAAATCGTTGTCAACTATGTGTAAAAACTGATAATAAAACATCTTTGATCTGTGTAATTTGTAAAAAGTTTATATGTAAACAACATTCAAATACAACTGTTTTATGTACTCGATGTCATAATAATTAATTTAATCATATTTCTTGTTTTGTTCATTTGATTAAAAGCTAAATTGGTAACTTTAATTATTTTAATAAAGTTTTCAAAATTAAATACTTACTTAGTATTGGTAAAAAAGTAATTCATGAATATTGAATATAATTAAAAATATAAATAGAAATATTTCATAAAAAAAGTTTTTGTCATTTTTATACCCATAATATGCATAAATATAGTACCCGGTCAAATTTGACCCGAGGAACGGTAACGTTAGTAATTTTGAAGCCCTTATGAAGGTTAAGTGATCGGTGTCACTTCAATCCGAGCCATAGACTACACCGCTGATCCTAGTGTGAATCAGTGTGTTTCAACCCTTGCAAATGCAGCCGGGACCAACGGCTTAATATGCCTTCTAAAAGACGAAAACGAAGGAGCTAGACATTTTTGGTCACCCATCTAATGATACGCCCTTGCGAAAGTAGCTTAACCATCTTATCGCAGACCGAACTTGCTCCTCATTTATTTACTTACCGAAGCGCAATATCTTGATTTTATTGATAAAATTAAACTTACTGTTCCCCCTTTAGTTCCTGTGCAATAACAATACTAGTGTTGGAATACTGAACGTGGCTTCCTGGAGGCATTTGGTAGACTGTTATCTTGAATACTGACTCAAACTGAGGATTGTCGAAGCAAGGTATGAAATACTTCGCTTTGTCGGGTGACAACCGAGTCTGCATAAGATATCTGCAATAGTAATAATAAAAACGTTCAAACAGATTAGCGCTTAAAACGACAAACATAAAACGAGTAGGTAGGTAGGTAATTTATGGTTGATGCAGTTAAGATTTCAATATTCATTTCTTTTTAAGAATCACTATAAAATTACTCTCATCAAACCTTAAGGCCCTCTCGTACCTCCACCTTCGTCCAACCTATTTTTGTATATATGTAGTAAGTAAATAAATTAATATGAAATATATCATTTGTAAAATCGATCCAAAAAACCTATTTAGGGTCATGTCCATTATTTTTTTCTATCGGGCCAGTTATTGAAATTAACGTTTTTGTTTTTAGGAAATAATCGATCATATGTTAAATTTTTGTAAAATAATTTTTATTTGGCAAATATTAGCAAAGCCTTAGAATAAAATTGGTTTAAAAAGTGGGAATTTCGTACAACTTCGCCTTAAGAGTTAAAAATAGATAAACCAATTTTTACTGCGACCTATTATGATGACTTTAATTCTTAACTCATACTCGCATAAAGTGAATGTCAAGGTTATCTTTGTATAACAATGTCTGGACTAAATATTCTCAAAATGTTACATAATGACTAAGAACTTTACATTTATGTTTGCCAATATTAGCTAAGCTAATATTAACTGAATACTTTACAATAGGAGGACCGAGGACTAATTTCTATAGAACAAAACAATTTTCTTCAAAATCCGTGTAGTAGTTTTTATGTGAAAGCGAACAGACAGACAGAGTGATAGCCAAAAATGTTGGCTTCTATAACTTGTATAAATACCTCCTGATTTTTTTTTATTTACATTCAATGTACAGACTTAATACTCTCGACACTTTCATTATATGTAAAGATAATTTTAAGGATTATTAAAAAATATGTAATAAGCCTATAAAAGTCTGAAACTTCAATTCATGAGTCTAAGTCTAGGCTGGACGACACTGTCCGTCTGCCTTATAAAAAAAAAAAATATTTCTGTGGTCCGTCACTAGGCAACATCTAGTGTTTTTTTGATTTGTGATCATTAATTTATTTTATTGAAATTGTAATTACAATTCTTAATACTATTTAATTATATTCCAAATACTTAATTTTTGAAAATTGAAAAGTTAAATTGTAAAATAACACGTTTAGTTATTATAAAAGACACATGCTGTTGGGTTATGATCAGAATCGAATAACTTGTTAATACTATTTGTAATGAAATTGATTGTAATCTGTTATGTGTCGTAAATAAATAAATAAATAAATAAATAAATACCAACCAACCGTGTTTTCTTAGATAATATTACGGTACTCTTGATGTTTTCGAGTTCGACTCGCACTTGGTCGGTTTTTTTAAGCGTATTATTTGTTTCATTGATAATATAGCACATACATTTTTCTTTTAAAGAATCAATATTTAATTAAGGTCAGCTTACACGATAATCGCACGCGTCATTACCAATAATGGTTAATACCATAAACGTCACAGACTGCACGTGGGAGAGAAGGCCGCCGAGTCTAGCTAGAAAACCTACATGATCTATTTTTATTAGTAGATTGAAGGCTTGTCACATTTATACTGTAAAACCAATTGGAAAACATTAAATAATATGTATAGTTTTTGTTTATAGTAGTAATTATTCTTTGCTTATAGTATTACTCGAATTTTTAACTTATCTTAATTTTCAACTAGTAGCGTTGAAAACAAAACACAAACTATTAAACAAATGATGATTTAAGAAAAATAATTCCATGTTTTTATGTAAAATAAAATTAATTTGAAATTAGAATTATCAGCCAAAAAAAATATTTTGATTTTTAATGGCCAGTACGGCAATTTCATAGATAAAGACCTATTATTTGTCGTTGATTTGATATAGGTACGTATAATATGTTAACACATTCCCTAATAGGTAGGGTATGGTTTATTTGTATCTGAAGTGAGAAATGTTTATATGTATCTGTGGTAGGGTCAAAGAATGATTTGGGACTCAAAGATGGGCAACTGAAATTGATACTCAACTGTATGTATCAGTATAGAAACAAGACCCATTTTTAATATAATATTAATCTTGAATGTATAGAATTTATTTATCATTTATTATTTATTTTTAAAATATACCACATACGTAACTATAGTAGTTCGCAAGTCAGTTTCAAGGTCTATCTCTGAGAGTCAAAGTAAAAACAGGACTTTTCAATATTGTCTTAGGTCTAGTTATTGTAGCACCTTCGTTATCTCAGAAGGCTTTAGCTACTCATCTCGTAATTTGAGCAATGTATGTGATGTTGTTTAATATTTTTAATTCTAGTCTATTCTGTAAGTTATCTAAGCGTAATTAATTACCAGCTCATCAGGTAATGCACCGATTCTTTATAAATCCTACTGTGTTTGAGTTAAAGTTAATAATCTCATTTTATTTTGACCTATTTATTCATATATCAATATAATTTGATGGTCCTGTTATCAAAAGTGCTCTAAATCAATAATTTTAATTATATAACACAGCGATTAGGATGTATAATTAATATTATATAAACAGACCATTTATAATTGTGTGTCTATAGTATTCGTATGATATTAAATAGAGACAAAATGATAGGTATACATGATTATAAAAAAAGATTTGAAAATATATTGTATGTTATTTAAAGCCTTAAAAAATTCTCATAGAAAATAAAAGATGGTTTGTTTATATTTTAGTATTATAAACTTTACTCTTTGATAATATACTTGTAATCAGTCTTTACTGTTTTAAAAACTAGACGTCTTTGTCTAATTTTTACAGGCTGTCAAATATTCATCTACCAAAATGCAGATTGGATGACGTCAAAGTCATAAATTATACGGTCACAGTGTGACCTTGGCCACGCGAATGCGTTTCTAAGATAATTCGCAGAAATACAGTCGACCTCGTCGGGTGTGTAAACATAACAATACGATACGGAACAAACACGGGGACCTATTTTCAAAAGTCTATAGATAACTTTAAAAAAACAAACAAATTTCGCTACTTTTTTGAGAGCTGATATATTTCTGTTTGACTGACAATAGTCAAAAAATATTCCAATTGAGCGTAGGAAAAATTTAACAATTCAAAGTGCTTTCAATAATCTTACATGGACAAAAAAAATGTTCAATTAATTTCCATCGAGAGATGTTCGTTTAGGTTTTTACCAGTTTTAATAAATGTTAATTAAAAAAATAATAATTTTAAAAAATTGACAAAATTAATATCATAAGAAAAAATTTTACGTTCAGATTTAAAATAATAGTCAAAATGCACTTGAGACGGGTTCCATTATTATATCTAAAGGAAAAAAAAATTGAAAACACTTACGATTATTGCTTAAGAGAATTGAAATGCCTCAATAAATGCCTAAAATTGTATTAAACTACAATAAGCTTAATAAACCAAACATCAAACCATACATACAAATGGAAGCCCTTCGTCACTGTGCTACCAGAGAGACCCTGTTTCTGGTTTATAAAACGCTCACACAATCCCTATTATATTCCTGCTCACTGGCGTGGGGCGGGGCAATTTAAACAAACATGATTGAAGTAGTAGAAGCCCAGAAAGTGGTACTAAAGGTAGATAATGTTTAAAAAAAGGTTCAGATATTCCACAGATGATCTCTACATGAAGTCAAATTGTTGAGAGTTTGCAAGATTTTTATTTAAAGAAAGCGGTATCTATTACTCGCAGTGCATTCATCTTCACTCATACACACGCACGCACGCGCAGATGCACACACACACATACAGACATAATCATATCATCCATAGTATTATAAAGAATGCATTTAAATTAAATAAATTGGTAACTTGACATATGAATCAAATAAGTCAAAATGTGTAAAATCAATTATTATAATTTTATATTGTTATATAAAAATAGAAAAACACAACACTTGAATAGTTGATGAATTTGTAACAATTGGTATTTATTGAATATATTATTAATTGTATTCATGGTATTTGCAGGTTGAGCATAGCTCAATGCAAAAACCACTGGCAATTCTTGTTGTAATATTGTAAATGGTATATTTTCATTTTCATTTTATTTTTCATCAATTTTCTTAAATGTCCGCACATTACGATAGTTATACTGAATTACTTTATTGATTTTACGAAACATAATATAATAATCCATCCGTTAATATAGTTTTGTGATTAATTTAGAGTTTCATTTATCTTTTAAATATTTTAAATGAAAATACCATATTAATACCGCCAGTTCCTTTTATTAACTGTTAATTTCTTGTACCCAAGTGACTTATTGCATACTAATGTTAATTTTATTAACACATATTTCTTTTGCACTCTCGTTAGCGATAGCACATTTCTGGTTTCAGTTTATGTAAGTTGATGTAACATTATACTACAGATAGAGGAAAATAATCAAATGTATAATAGTATCCCTTATCTGGAATACTGATATTATTCTCTTTATTATTCTAAAAATAAATAAAATATAAGTTCAATGAGCCAAGGGAACCCACCCGCAAGCAGATCGAGGATTTTCTACACTCTAAAAAAAATTGTTATATCAAACAATATTGTGATATATTATATATGACCTAGCATCTTGTTTCCATATGAGCCTGACAAGACGTTAGATACATTAAATAAGTTGGTTTTTATTATTTTTACTATAAGTTACTTTGTTAAGATAATTATGATTTCATTCAATTTGATCATTATAAATAACTATAGCAACTACCGCCTAGTCTTCAATTTAAATAAGATCGTAATCGATAGGTCTATGATATGTGACTGTATGAACAATTTACCACAGTTGATTCAACCAAGAGGTTGGTAAAAATTAACATAAAACGTGGCTAAACTAATCAATTCATGAAAGTTAATTTGACCAAAGAGTTGGTCAATTTAACCAAGAAAAATGGTTGTACTTGCCAATTTACCTTAGTTCTTTCAACCGATAGGTTAGTCAATATTAGCATGAAACATCATTGTACTAACTAATTTACCGAAGTTAATTCAACC